AGGAAACAAAAATAAGGAAATTTTAGTGGAAACAAAAATAAGAATGCTCAACTGCTATGCACAATCAATATGGTAGAGAATGTTGGAAAATTTCCTCACAGATGAAGTGGAGACTTGAGACAACGAATATCTGGCTCTACAGAAGGATATTGAGAATCGCATGAACGGAACATGTTAACAACAAGGAAGTTATAAGGAAAATTCCAACAAAGAGGATATGAAAGAGACAGTTAAAATTTCTAGGTCACCTAACGAGGAAAGAGGGCTTAGAGAATTTCACACTCACCGGACATATTGAAGGCAAGAGAAATAAGAAGAAACAGCAAGTAACCTAGTCAATGAATTTGTATGAATTGATAAAGGTGGGAGGGTAAAAGACCAAAAGTTATTTAGAGCAAAAAGACAGTAACTTGTAGAAAGCCATGATCGCCCACACCCTAAGAGACATAGCAAATAAAAGAAGCGATGACGATCCGTTTGACAGATTATTTGATTAGAAGTGCTTCTGAAGAAGGCCAAGTAGCCCTCTAGTCGAAGGGAAAAGAACGATACAACAAATAAAGATGTTGTCCAAATAATTCGCCGAATAATGAGCTCAAAACGTCAAACATCCGAATTTGTAATACTTGAAAAAGAAGAAAAAAAATCTGAAACCTCGAAGTTGATAGGATGAAGACTATGTTGTATAACTCTTCCAAGTTAGGAATACACTTTTGAAATGATTGCTTTCATTGACCACTGGCGCCAGTAAGAAATATACAACTCTCTTTACCAGCATGCGTATTTATTAAATTTAGTTCGATTTAGCACAAGATTTCAAATGCAGTGTAGCCTGAACTCTCTGTAATAACCATGGTTCTTTTCACGTCTCATTCCGCTGCAGGTAGCCCAGCAAACACAGTCTCATATATATGGGATTAAACCATAAGGTAATCCAGTTCTATGGGTGCTTTTGGGACACCTTAGGTGCCAAGGATTATCACTCACCCACTCTCTTTTAATAAAAAAAATAAGCTTATTTTGGTACAAGGCTGCAAAGATGGATACCTATTGAGGATCGACCTTATTAATCATGGCCAACGAGGCTACGTTTTGCTATTATCTCGCGCTGAGCACCCTCACTCCCTACACGAAGTCATTCATATATATTTGTCCAGATATTATGCGCGTTACATATAATCAATGTAACTCCATCAATAATATAAAAATATTTATTATTAAATAATCTGTTTGCTTGCTTTTCCTCTCTATTGCTGTTTATTAAAGTCTATCACTCCGCCATTATTCCCGCCGTCTGTCTGTTTGTCTCACGGTTGATCTTTTCCCTATTAGTTCCTTCTTATCTCTCCCCCGCTAAGATGCCAGCATCCTTCCAATACCGCCGCCCATCATTTTCCATTGAAAAGATATCAACATTTTTCACTTTCATGAACGCCATTTTGTTTTTAGCCCTGTTTTCATTTTTCTTCTCCTTGTTTCTTGTCTTATCATTATCGTCTGTAATTTCATTGAAAAGCAGCATCAGTTCACAAAAGTCCTTGCTTTTTATACACACGCGCGCACGTACACATCACTGCCTTCAAGTCTGTATTTCTTTAACTTACATTTCTTAAGGACTTGCATGGGATTTAAATTATCTCCATTTCCTTTAGACTAGGTTTAGTTTCATCGAATTGTTTCTTCCTTCAGTTATTTTGCTTTCTTTTTGGTAAAAAAACCCATTGAGAAGTCAGTAATTTGTGGTGGAACTGTTAAGTTAGTATTTTTCCGTCATCATTTATTACAGGCTGATTTGGGTCAAATTCGACTGCATAGTGATCATGTAATTACTTCTTAGTAATAGCAATTGACTGGCTGCATTCAAGATTTCGATTTTACGCCATGATCGCTTATAATATGTATTTTTTGATGTTAGAGTTTCTGTTGCTTGGAATAATTTAATTTGATCTCAACTTACGGCTAATTTTACAAAATTAGTTTCTATATTTGATACAATTAAAGACAATATTTATTGTCAGAAGGTCAAATGTGGTACAAGAAAGTTCAATCTAAAGTGATAAAATTCAGTCCATTGCAGAGAAAAGTGAATAATACTAAGTTTTATAAGGTGTCAAATTCTCTATAAAAATAACAGACATTATCAACAAGAGACAGCTTATATATACTTTCTATTTCGCTAAAAGCTTGATGTGTGCCTTAAGTACTTTTGTAAAGTATACAAATTTACGAAGACATGACATTTCATATATGGAGCCTTGAACGGAATTAAGAATCTCATGGGTGTTAAAAAGTTCTCTACCTGACCAAGAAATGATTTAAAAAAATCACAAAAAACCCTGATGTTTGATCATTTGGCCAAATTTGAGGAAGTGTGTCGAGCCAATAACTTTACAGCATCCACTACTATTGGGGCTTTGATGATGTTTTTTTTAAATTAATTTTTCAAAACGATTTTGACATTTTAGTAAAATTGTTAGCTAACAGATATATATAATATTTGACTCATCACAAATGATGTCAATGTCTATGTTGTCCATCAGTATCAGCGTATCTCTCTCTCTCTCTCTCTCTATATATATATATATATATATATATATATATAGTAGAAATATATATATATCTAATACATAAACATTTTTAACGGTCTGACAATGAAAAAATTGCACCGAACTTCACATTAGGCTGCCGATATATACCCTAAATGACTTCAACATCAGTTTTAAATGGTAGCTGTTTAATTATAAATCTTTCGAAACAACTCTTTTGTCGGATGAGGACCCTCAACAAAATGCTAATGACTTGACCCAGCCACATAGTTTTGTGGTTTTGTTTGTCCAAGCACTATTTCCCACTCGCATAAGCCTTATCTATCTTTCTCCCTCGCTTTTCACTCTCGTTTCTCTTTTTCTCTCTCCTCCTACTTCCTATTTCCTTCATTTTATAACAGGCGCAAAATGCAATTATCTGTTCAACTCAGAAAGCCATTTACCTAAAAAAAATATTAAATCTAAAAATCATGACCAAAACTTTGCGAATTAGAAACGAGGGAAAAATTTCCGAAAATCCTTCAAAGAATAATTTTCAATTTTTTTTTTTTAAATATAATTTTTCATTTGTGAATTTTTTTTTAATCTCAGGATATTTGCATTTTAAAACTTATTCTGTTTTTACGATTTTTTTTTTTTACTTTCAGTTTAGAACTATTCTTCTCTTTAAATTCATTCAGTTTTCTTTTTTAGATTTTGAAATATTTATTTAGTTTTATGTTTACTTTTTATACCTTATAATAATATTTGTTTTTACTATGAATATAAGCTTGGTTTTCTTCTAAACTTTTCTTTATTAATTTAAAAGTGGGCAGTCATTCTTTATGAATATTTTGCTTGTTTTGATCAGGGTTTTAAAGTAAATTTCAAAATTTTAAGCTTGTCTTTTGTTTTAAGACTTGAGATTTATATAATTTTTATTTAGATTTCGATTTTTCTATTTGTTTTTAATATTCTTGCTTACTTATTTATTAGTTTCATTTATTTTTCGAAGTCTCTGCAGATTTCACCGCCATTGCATTGCCTTTCCTAAAAATAGCAGGAGCGGCTGGATACAATCAATGTTCCAATCTGCACACACACGTCTGTAAAATGACATACATGTACAGTGATCGTCAATCATGCATATGCATGATTGACGATGAGGGGATGGCGTTGTGGTAACAAAACTGTATTTAGTGCTTCAAGCAATTCAACGTCATGTATTTGGAAATAAGAAGTCTTACATATTGCAAATAAAATTCCAATCTTAACGTATATATTTTTCTAAAAGACATATTTTAATTTTATAATAGTCGTCGATGGATTTTGAGCGATTTATATCAAAAGTATCATAGCATTAGTAGAAACTAATTAAAAACTAATTAAAAAAATGAGCTTTTACCTGTATTATTTACCTGTATTATTTACCTGTATTATTTATCTGTATTATTCTGTTATTGTCAAATACAGACTAAATGGTAGACAGATTTTTAAATTATATTTTAGATAAAATTACTTTCTTAAATTCTTATTGAAAATGACTTTACTTACGTTTGTTTATTATCTACAGGATAATATTTATCTGTGAAATGTCGATTTACTGTTCTTATCAGTGAGAAGATGTTCTTTCTTCGAATGCGATACGGAATTATTCTAAATAACTTGTTCATATAACTTTAGAGAAAATGATTTTTCCTAAAATTTAAATTCTACTTATTGTGTGTGTGTGTGTGTGTGTGTGTGTGTGTGTGTGTGTGTGTGTGTGTGTGTGTGTGTGTGTGAAGATAATGAGACAAAGTGGACGCGTTTCACCGGAGAAAGCTTATGTAAGTATCTTGGGATCTCTGAGGATAATTTGGTCGTCGTAAATGATATTAATTACTCTAGTTTATCACTTCCCGGCTTTAGACTTGAAAAGAGTCTGTATATATTTGCGCTTTTTTTTAAATCTATATCTGTGACCCGTTTGGCATTGTATGATTTTAATCCAGGGACTTTTTAGTATTTTTTGCATACACATATATACCTGCATACATATACGCACGTAAATACACACACATATATACATACACACAAATAATACAAACATACATACATTCTTACATACGTGTACATACATATGCATCCACCGGGGCATATACATGTATTAGAGCCATTTTTTTTATTTTTCATACTTCTACATATACATATACATGCCCATCAATATATACCTATGCACACGCACGCACACACACACACACACGACGCAGCATAAATGTATATGTGCACTCTCATATACATTCGTGCGCGCACACACACACACGCGCACACATATCCACAAAACCATATATATATATATATATATATATATATATATATATAAGGGCCTTTAAGTCCTTACAAAACAAATTCTGATGCATGGGAAGTGTTTCGAGCTGATAACTTATCAGCACCAGTGTCCATTCTTGCTTCTTTTTTCCAGTTTTAATTGACGCTTTATGTTGATGAAGACAAGGAAATTTGGATTTTTTTTTGAAAACATGGATAATAGAGGTAAACGAAAGCAAAAATTTGGATAGAGAGAAGTGTAGTTTAAGGTAGAGGAAGAAAGAATGAAAATAAAAAATCTTTTGAAGAAAACCTGAACCAAAAAGAACCAAGTGATTTTACGATATTTCAAAAATGTTAATTATGAAAAGTATTTTATTAAAATTATTTTAAAATAATTGATACTAAGAATGTTGCCCATATAAAGAAAGGGAAAAGTGGTTGTGGGAAATATGGAACGAAAGGAACACTGAAGGTTCAATAACATTTTCATTGAGAAATATTTTCCTTTCTTTTAAAAACAAAGAGACTGAAATACTGAATGTTTGTTTGCAGTTTTATTTTATCTATTTATTGTATGGATCTTTTTGGTACGTCGGATTTGGCTTGGTTTGCTCGAGTTTAAAACTTGATTTTGAAATTGAACATTTCTTTCTTTTCTCGTTTCCGTATTAAATTAAAGAGATATATTTGAATTCGTTCGTCTATATTTTCTTCGTCACGAAGTTGTGAAAAACTGGATATTTTTTTTCAAGTGGTCAAATTGTGTTGTCACAGTGACATTTTCCTCTGTATGCTTCTAAAGATTTCATCTGCTTGTCTCTCTCCCTGACAGATAGAAAGAAATTTCTGATTACCATATGTTTACATATGCACTGAAATAAGTTCTTAATCTTACTGTTTGGTCAGGTTTCATTTGTAAGGCATAAGGAAATTACTAACCAATAAACAATATATATATATATCCGACATATTTTTTTTTGTTTTACTTTAAACATTATTTTTAGTGGATACACATATCTGTTTACGTTTCGGATACGAAACTGAGCAGTTATGACTTTCGAGGAATTCTGAACGAGTAAAGTATGCTTTAAAGAGAACATTACTTGATTGTGAAGATCTTCGTAACTGTGGAAGAAATTTCTCATTACAAAAAATCGAAATGCTTGAATGAATACGAAAAGACGAAGAGAGAGAGAGAGAGAGAGAGAGAGAGAGAGAGAGAGAGAGAGAGAGAAAAAATAAGGATGGGATTCGATTTATTTCAGGAAAGCTAATCCTTGACTGTTACACATCGATAATCGTCTGTCAATAATTCTTATCGATAATAATCAATAATAATTCTATGAAACATTGTTCACGTACCGTGTCACAAAGAATTATAGTATTGTAATATGTAGGTAACTCTTTGAGAGCCCCATCACTCAGGATGGACTTTTATTGTTAATTGTCAAATAGATAAAATGCTTCTTTTGAAGAATGTAGTCAACCAAACTACTTCTTCCGTTGAAAGGAAAAATGGTATGAAATCATTCTAAGACTTTTCGAAATTAATTCGAGCTTAAAGAGCCGATTGAAATATCTTCTCAAATCAGTCCTTAAATGATTCAGTGTTTTGTCATCTACTTCGATATTTCAGACCATCTACTCTCTAGATTTAGTCAAGTGCATAATACATCATTTAACTTTCATATAGCATGCCATAAGGCCATAGTAACTGAGCACCCAGTACAGATTGATCGTATAACACTTTCAAATCAGTTTGAGAGACGAACCTACACAAAACTGCAGTGATTTTTTGTTACGTCCAGTGGCGTATCGAAGGAATTAAACAATCAATTCAATTCTACAAATTTGTAAAAATTTTCTATTGAGCTTGTGTTCTCTCTCTCGAAAAAACAACAACGTTGCTCTAGTAGTCGTACTATGAACATGCTTAGCAAATATTTAGGCAGCGTTCGAATTTTCTCTCTTTGTCTTCCTTTATTTTCACGCTTATAATCAATAACGGTCATTTTTCATAAGAATCGTTAATTACCAAACATATTTTGATTTGGATTCGATAAGTTTAGCCCGCCAAAGTTTTAATAGCGGTATATCCAGAGAAGATCGAATTCTCTGCATAAGACTATCGTGATAAATATTGCACTGTGGCGGGGGATCGATATAGAGGACAATAAACAAAATATAGATCATATTTTTTTTAACTGAAAAATAAAAGATAGAGTTATGGATTGATCATATACATATATTTGCTGAGTGCACAAATACCGTTTAGCATTTTAATGGAATATTTCTTTAACAAATAAAGTGTTACTAAACTTAATAATATTTCGATATTTATTTATATCTTCTTCAGGGCAACCCAAGTAGAAATCGAAAATAAAAATAAAAATGTCCAAATACAATTTTTCCCAATCGAAGATTTTTTTTGCTTCCATCCCTTATAATCTGCGCACACCTGTTCATACTCACCCACACACATACAGAGAGAGAGAGAGAGAGAGAGAGAGAGAGAGAGAGAGAGAGAGAGAGAGAGTGTGTTAAATGTTATTTTCTTCATAAAAACAAATTGAGGCACATGCAGAAATTATGCATGGGCATTTTCATTATTCAAAAATCAAACTTGTTCTGGTATTTCACCCGTCTTGTACACCATATATAAATCGGTATTTTAAGTTTGAAAAAATATTTTTAAAATCGGGGATTTAGCAATATGGCGGTTAAAAAATGTAAACAAGTGGAGAAGTTTGCCTAAACGACTTCATTATGAATATTTTCTAAAATTCATATTTTCAAAAGAGTACAAACAAAAATGAATGGGAAATCAATAGAAAGTAATTATAAAAAAATTAAAATACGATAATTTACATGAAAAATTATAAATAAATAAAACCTAATAAAAATGTAAACAAAACAATTGGTAGTGAAAAGTTCTCCGACCTTTTAACACGGCGTGACTGGTGAGCCGTTCATACGGGGATAAGTAGAATCCCTGTCAACAGCGGTCGAGAAAAAGAGTTAAATGTAGAAATGTGTTATGCTATGGACCCGGATAAAATATAAGACTTGCATTTAATGTTTATTAGAATTAAATGTGAAAAAAGAACAAATGAACAATATTAATTAGTTTCGAGAATTTAAATGGGGTTGAGAATATTGAGAACAAATTACGATAACTACACACGGCCCTGTACTTATCTGCTACACTCACCAAATGGGAAATTACAGGTAATACGTTACTTCATCGAACCAAATAAAATATTATCTCCTCAAGAAATGAATAAATAAAAATAGTTCGAGATTAAGTTGTTTTACATGAAGACCTGCAAATTAATGGCCAAATTGTACCAATGCATCATTGGTGACCAATCGACGGGTTGGGTTCCCATATAAACGAAGCAAATTGACTAAGGCGAGCAGAGAGAAAAGACAGGTGTGAAATTCGCTAAGATCTCCAGAAAAAAGAGACACTCACTAAATGCGAACAGAACAGAGGTACTAGCAGATAGAATAAGAAAGTGTAATTGAACACGGTCACCAGGTTACTATCGTAACCTTTGAAAACTGGAAGAAGGAGCAGACAGATACTAGTGTTGTGAACGACCGATTCACATTTCAAAAGACCCCCAAAGTTAGCAGGAAAGTTCATGGCCAATTTTTTTAAAGAGACCAAACCAAACAAGTGCCAAAGAATTTTCTATGTTGATTAAAAGAGACGAAGGAAATTTCGGAAAGTTGTTTATATTGAGAAGGATATTGCACCTGATCACAGTGTCGGCAAGACAATGGATATTTTTGAAGAATTTGAGTGCACATAAATTCCACTCTTATCAGCACTTCATCTGATTATTTTTGTAACCAATCCTTAAAAGGTGTTTGAAAGAGTGAAAATGTTCAAATATTCTGTCCATTGGATGCCATACATTTATCTCAACCTCTCTCAGTTTTAAAATAGTCTGTAAAGCACATTTCTCATGATTTCTTACGTTCTCCTTAATCTCGTCCATATCTGAAATCTTCTTTTCAACAGAGACTTTATCTTTGGGATGATCCACGAGTCTCATGAAGACAAATGGGAATTGTAGATTGTTAGGTGACAGGCAGACATCTATGATGAGTGTTTGGTAAAAAAAAAGAAAGTCCTACACGAGACTTGAAGAATTGTCAACTGATACATTTATGATGGTTTACTTTTCGTGCAGTCGGAGGGAATCCCAGATTTTATTTTCGCACTGTCAGTCGCCAATTTCCTTTGATTGCAGTTCGCATATGTTAAAAATGTCGGATGTTCAGCTTCTTGAAGGTCTTCTAGAACGTGGATCAATTCCGACGTACTCCCAGCTAAGATTAAAGAGTACGTGCCACAATTTTATCTGGGTTTCGCTCATCGAATCACCTCCTTGATGATAATTCGAATAGATTCTGCGAACGAACGTGCTTTTTACAGGCAAAACTTGAAGCTCATATTCCGCGTGAATGAGACGCGATGGCACAACATTTTGAGTAACCGTATGGGAGAGTCTATTTACGCATTGTCAAGGTCTCTTAGATATACAGACCATCTACTCTCTAGATTTAGTCAAGTGCATAATACATGATTTAACTTTCATATAGCATGCCATAAGGCCATAGTAACTGAACAGACCTTTATAATGTTTAGTCTTGATTAATGGAGAAATGTTGGGTTAAGTGCATTGACAAGAAAGGAGATATGTACTGAAAAATAAATATTTATTGAGTAAAACAAATACCTTTTTCATAATTAGGTTACAGACTTATTGATGTATACGTACACACACACATACACAAACTGTTGTTGGAAAGTTATTTTTATTGACAATTATTCTGACAGCTTATGACAACTAAACATGTGAATTGACATTTTCAGAACGCATTGAAGTGTGATGGTAACGTACTGATCAGTTTACTGTCCGTGCATTAACCATTAGAAATGGCAGATTGTAGGTCAATCTCAAGTGAATAATCTTGAACATGATGGGCACGCCATTACCGGGTAATACTGTATTGGTTATTTTGTTGTCGTGATGGCGTTTACTGAAAATAAGTGTTCTGACCAAAATAACTATTCAGTATGAGTATATCAAAATATCTTGTTTACTCGTGACAAGCTAATATTGGGGTTTTTAATGCAGGCAGAAGCCACAGTTTCTAATCTTGATTTTGATGACTAAATTAGTAACCATTCTTCTAATCAAAGCAAATGATTGGGATTGTATTTAAAACAAAATATGTATTCTGTTAATCTATTACAAATTTATCAATGTTTAGGAGACTTATACCCCTCAGTTCCATTATAAAAATATTAATCTACAGCAAATCCTCTTATGGCTATTTGTACGGGCAAGAGAAGTTTAGCAATAAAATGAAGGGAAAAGGAATTTAATAATAATAATAATAATAAAATGTGAATATAATGAATTAAAAATTAAATAAACTCATAAGTATTATAAGAAGTATAAGATCGAGAAAAAAAAGTCAATATAATCAGAATGACAAAAAATGATACTGTGAGAAAGAAGAATAAAAATGAATAATTTTGTCCGTATTCTTCTCCCTCTTTCTTTCCCTCTTTTCTCTCTCTAACGAAAAACTAAGCAAAAATAAGTAAAAAAGCAAACGTCAAAAATATCTCTGAACGAGAATTCATTCTAAAATAAAGAAAGTTACGATCGTTTACTTTCCGATTTTGTAAAAAGGAGAGATAGATATCTCGATAGTTCGATCGATCAATTGATCAATAGATAGATAGATAGATAGATGGAGAGGGAGAGAGAGGGGACAATTCGACGAAAAATATGTTCTAAACTTTACTATTAATACCGTTCACGCTAGTTAAATTTTCTCTGAAAATATCCAGCAACTATTGAAACAATTTGTCACTTGACTGAAGAGAAAGATCGAACTAAAATTGATTGAGTTATTGAAGGTAACAACTTGGCAAATAAATGGAAGGATGAACTTAGAAAAAAAAATGGCGGCCTTTAACTGTTCTTAAAAATAGTCCTCGTCATCACGATGTTATAGGTATTTACTAAGCTTAGTTTAGTATGGCACAAAGCCATGAAAGTTAAGTACCCAATAAGGACATAGCGATAGTCGGCGAAAATTGGCATATCGTTAACCCTATATCTACATATATATATAGAGAGAGGGAGAGAAGGAGAAAGAGAGAGATCCATCAAACCTGGTTTTAAGTATACCCCACCCTCGCTCTCATCAAAAGTATGTTGCAGGAGAGCAGCAAAATAAATGGCAAAGAGAGTTGGTGCCAGGACACAACCCTGTTAACGCCACTCCTCATCTTAAACGACTCTGATGTATTTCTATCGAATTCAATGCGTGCATTCATGTCCTCGTGAAAGGAAATTACCAACTGCAAAAGAATAGGTGAACGACCGATAAATTTTCAGTATTTTTTTAAGCATTTCACTCCAAGCAAGGCGAGAGTGCCACTAGTACGCAAGGAGCTACAGAGAGTGAAAGTAAGGGAAAAGACTAGATAGAGGGAGATTGAGGAAAGGATAAAAAAGGAACGGAGAAGTATAAAAGGAATAACTGGGATCAAGGCATGAGAAGATGTTGATTTACATTACATTTAATTTTTTGAAGATTATAGTTATCAAGGAAGCAAGTAAGAGGAAGGGAAATCCACTGTCAGTAACTGCAAGAGGAGAAGCTTTTGTAGAAAAGGCGGTTACATTTAACTATTTTGACGGTAAAAGGGTGGGGCCAAGATGCCAACCTAGTAGCACGTTTAAATTCATGCCGTCGGGGCACCAGTGAAAATAACTCGTCAGAGCAGATGCCATGAAAATATTTATAGAAAAGACAGAGAGAAGCCACATCACGTCTATGAGAAAGTGACTGGAGTCGAGATCCCAAGTCAGAACCGATCAAACTGCATATTTGTCTTTGGATTTTGTCTAGAACCTCGAGTTGAACAGCGGGGGCCGCAGTCCATATAGAGAGATTTCCGGGCCACAGTGTCAAATCTCTTCATCAGATCAACAAATGCGATGAACAGTGTGTATTTTTTGTTCTCTGCATTTTTCCTGCATCGTTGATCGACCAGCCCTAAACCCACATCTTTGCAGGCGTTTCAAAAAGACCCAATGGAAGATCTTACCCGACACGGAAAGAAGAGATATCCCCCTGTAATTATTACAGTAGCCCTTGTCACCCTTAATTTTGTAAAGGGTAACGCTTTTGGCGTCCTGCATTTTGTGCGGTATTTCATATTGTCACCAGAATTGCAGTTTACAATGCATACAACTGCGACAGAACATCCTTATTTCCCTTTAAAATTTCAGTAGGCTTACCATCCTCGCCCTACGCGCTCACATTTAACAGGGCACTTTTTGCTTCAGAAAGCTCGCCTTCGGTGGGCTCCTCATCCGATTCTGCAAATACGCCGAAAGATGGTAAGACCCCTTCCATACTTGGATGTTCAGGTATGTCTTGAGCATAAACCTTGGAGTAGTGCTATACCCTTCTTTCGAGCTTCAGAATAGGAAAGGCCACAGCTGCATTCAAGAAACT